TTTCTTTCTTTCTTTCTTTCTTTCTTTCTTTCTTTCTTTCTTTCTTTCTTTCTTTCTTTCTTCCTTCCTTCCTTCCTTCCTTCCTTCCTTCCTTTCTTTCTTTCTTTCTTTCTTTCTTTCTTTCTTTCCTTCTTTCCTTCTTTCCTTTTTATTATGGCAAGTTTCAGGTTTCCAACGAGTAACAGCATTCTGTCACGTCACTTTGTCTGCACTGTATCTGGCCTTGAAAGGACATTTGAATGTAATACACTTTGGCAAGTTAACTCAAGACACACTTAGGAGTGCACTACCACTGTCTTCAGTGAACTGCTTAGCACCTGTTGATCATGGATCACGTAATATGCATAACTGGACAAATTATTATCAAAACTCTTCCTACCCAGGAGAGGTTTGAAGACACACAATTTCACAACCTTTATGCCAGCAATGCTTAAAGTCGTTTTAAGCTTTGGGAATGTTAGGTTGAGTTCCCTCCAAGTAGGCTATTAAATCGACTTAGTTTTGATTTTATGGAGAAGGACTTGCATGCTAATGGTTATCTGTTGCACATTGGTCTAACGTTAATTACTGATGCTCAGGATCTGGCTACTGCCTGTTGGACACACCTACCCTTGTTTGTGTAAACCTGCCTAAAATATTGTGCCTGATTGGTTCATTAAATGGCCTGTACCTGGGCAGGGCAGAATGGGGTAGGTGTGGCTAAGGTTCTTGGGATTTTGAGGACAAGAGAATCATAAGAATCATGGGGAGGAGATGGATGGGAAGAAAGGAAGAAGGAGGACACCACCATGCGTTAACGTAGGAATGGAGAAAGGACTCAATGATGATGTGGAAAGGCCTAGATAAAGAATAAAAGCAAATACCATGGATTATGGATGAATAGTAGTCCGACTGAAGAGGATTAATGTGGATGGCATTGGATGGGGGCTGGGAGAGGGATGGTGAGGCTATTGAGACTGTATGTGAAATGTATCTGCCTGGCCCAAGGTAAATAGGGCAATTATAAATCTAATAGGTGTCTGTGTCTCATTATATAGTGGGTTAGATAATACTGCTGCAATAATCATAGAGCTAATAATAAATAATATATAGCCCAACATCAATAAATAATTTACTATAACAGTTATCTTTGTCTCTGAGCTGCCCTTTGGAGACCTCTCACTACTACACTTAATAATTAAGAGGGCACAGTTAAGGAGGGTTGGGGCTGTGGGGGGATACAAAGTGAATAAAGTATAATTAATAAAAAAGAGGTCACAGTTAGGATAATGGTGCAAAATCAGCAATTAAAGGCACAGTTTTCTATATAGTTTAACTATGTGGCATTTTCTAAGAAGATGGACTGATTCTATAAAACATGTAGAGATCAATTATTTTTTCATCAATAGTCACTTTAGTTTCTTTTAAGAAACATGGGTGCTATAAACATGGTTGAACAAATGTCCTTGTTGTACACTTGAGTATCCTTTGGATATATATGCCTAGGAGTGGTAAGCTGGATCTTGAGGAAGCACTGTTCCTAATTGTCTGAGAAAAGTGCCAGATTGATTTCCAAAGTGGTTGTACAAGTTTATATTCCTACCAGCAGTGGAGGAGGGTTCCCCTTTCTCCAAAACCTCCCTAGCATGTGTTGTCACTTGAGATTTTGATCTCAGCCATTCTGATGGGTGTAAGGTGAAATCTCAGGGTTGTTTTGATTTGCATCTCCCTGATGACTAAGGAAGTTGAGCAATTCTTTAAGTGTTTCTCTGCCATTCTATATTAATCTACAGAGAATTCTCTGTTTAGCTCCTTACCCCATTTTTTAATTGGATTGCTTCATTTGTTGCTTTTTTAACTTCTTGAGTTCTTTATAAATTCTGGATATTAGCCCTCTATTAGATATAGGGTTGGTGAAGATCCTTTCCCAGTTTGTAGGCTGTTGTTTTGTTCTGATGACAGTGTCCTTTGCTTTACAGAAGCTTTTTGGTATATATCCAAAATATGCTCAAGTACACAACAAGGACATTTGTTCAGTCATGTTTGTAGCAGCTTTATTAGTAATAATCAGAACCTGGAAACAACCCAGATGTCCCTCAACAGAGGAATGGATACAGAAACTGTGGTACATTTACACAATGGAGTACTACTGAGCAATTAAAAACAAGGAAATCATGAAATTTGCAGGCAAATGGTGTGATCTAGAAAAGATCATCCTGAGTGGGGTATCCCAGAAGCAGAAAGACACACATGGTATATACTCACTTATAAGTGGATACTAGACCCATAAGATAGGACAAACATACTAAAATTGTATATCTAGAGAAGATAAACAAGAAGGAGGACCTGGGGTAAGATCATCAATCTTCATTTAGAAAGACAAATAAGATGGACATTGGAAGTAGGAGAAAACAAGAAATGGGACAGGAGCCTATCATGGAGGGCCTCTGAAAGACTCTACCTACCAGTGTATCAAAGCAGATGCTGAGACTCATAACCAAACCTGTGCAGAGTGCAGGGAATCATATGAAAGAAGGGGAAGTTAGTAGAACCTGGAAAAGATAGGAGCTCCACAAGGACCATATATATCTGGGCACAGGGGTCTGTTCTGAGACTGATTCTCCAACCAAGGACCATGCATGGATATAACCTAACACCCCTCAGACATAGCCCATGGCAGCTCAGCATCCAAGTGGGTTCCCTAGTAATGGGAACAGGGACTGTCTCTGACATGAACTCAGTGGCTGGCTCTTTGACTGCCCTCCCCCCACAAGGGAGGAGCAGTCTTGCCAGGCCACAGAGGAGGACATTGAAGTCAGTCCTGGTGGGACCTGATAAGCTAGGGTCAGATGGAAGGGGAGGAGGACCTCCCCTATCAGTGAACTTACAGAGGAGCAGGAAGGAGATGAGGGAGGAAGGGTATTGGGAAGGAATGAAGGAGGGGGCTACAGCTGGGTTACAAAGTAAATAACCTGTAATTAATATAAAAAATAAAAATTTAAAAAGAAGAAGAA